TGAAAATAAGGAATATATCCTATTACATACCTTTTAATCTTTAGCCAATAATACTGAAGTCTCACTTAGTCATACCAAAAACACAATGGGGTTATTCGCTTCTCCACAAATTCGAAGCTGAATTCTGTTGACAAATTACATGTAAAAAATCCCAAATTATTTTCAAATTACAGATGCATTAAAATGAATGATAAGAACTTCATACCCAAATTTGTGCCTAAAGCATAATTTTTCCTTAAGAGATTAACATAATATTATTAACTATTTCTTTTGTTTCAGGTATGTACAACATTTTAATTGGATCATAATTTATCTACTTCAGACATTAGTTATGAAAGGTAAGGTAGAGTAGTAAACGTAAAAGTAAGTTATAGTAAAAGTAAGTTGTGAATCAATAATATTTTTAGTTAATTAGTAAAATTATTAAAACAGATAACATTAAACATATCTAGTATTAAATAAAAATAAGTGAGAGATAGTTAAAGATGTACTGATTTATGTGCGAGTTGAGTATGTTTAATTGGAGGGGGGAGGGGGAATACTTGATTAGATTGTAAATTGTAGATACCATGGTAAAGGGAAAGTTAATCACCGCGACCTTATAGATCTATTGTGTCCCCCTTTCTTGAGTCATAACTCATTATACAGTCTCTTATACAGGGCTTTGACAAAAGCCAGTATCTAAGACGGTTTTATAGAGGTTAGTTCTCCATATCCGATATCAGTAGTGCACAGTTTATGGCACGAATTAGTTGCTTCAGCGCACTCAGAGATGATGTGTAAAAGCTTCATTCTGCACCTTCCAATTATTAGTGTAGAATAAATTAGTGTAGAAGTCTGTTCCTCTAATGTCAATGTAAGCATTCATACACTCAAAAAAACTCAACGGATACACTTCCTGTATCAACATAACAGTCCTAGGATAACTGTCATAACAACCAAAAAACTCAAAATGTACCTAAAGTACCAAACAAGACAGTCTAAGAACTGTCGATAGTAACTGACAACACTGAAGGTTCAGATGATGAAACATAGTGAATGCGATACTAAAGAAAAAATATTGGCATAAAAAATATTGGCGTAGAAATCTGAAGGTAAACTAAACAATAGACGAGATGAGATCATTCTATACATAAAAAAATAACCCTAAATGTTAGTTTAGCAGCTCGCCTTAACCGTTATCGATAATCTTAAAACCTTGTAAAATAAATCACAAGCAATAATAAAAAAAAATCAGGAATATTGTTGTGACCACCCAGTATAGTAAAATTATCAAAATAATCTCATCTAAGTATAACGTTCAAAATTTATACGAAATTTCAAACACCTAGAGATATAAAAAAAATCAAAGTCGAAAATTTAATGCTTGTCCACCCTGTATAGGGAAAATACAAACCAAAATGTCTGTAAATATAAAGTTTCAAACTTTATCAAATGTCAAACACCTTGAAATTTAAAAAATTTCAAAGTCACAAAAAAGTATTGACCACCCTGTATAACGAAGTCCCAACAATAGATAAACTTTCAAGTTTATCTACCAAGAAAAAAAATTTAAACTATTTACACTCTTTATTCCACTAATTATACTTCAAAATTTGAGAAGAATGTCATTTTGGCCTTTGATTATCATTCGTCAAGAGAAATTGTGGTTAGAAATCAAAAGTTGATTGTTTTATAAGCTAATTATTACGCTTTCTCTATGGATACGACCATGATACAAAGAAAACAAGGTATGATCGATAGCGGCTCCAATTTCGTTCTGTTTGCGCTAACTAACTAACCTACCTAACCTAACCTAACCTAACCTAACCTAATTATCTGTGACGTCACTACGCCACACAAAAAAATCCATATTGTTCGATTGCCATTAATAAAAAAAGACCTAAAATAGGGAAGAATTACGACATAGCCTCAAAAGTTATGTCAAATCATTGTGCATTGAGAGTAATTTTCACATTAATTATGTGTCATCGGTTTGAAATTGGCGCGCGGAAAGTGCCGACCAATGGTGCCGTACTGCCGTACTAATGGTACCAAACCAACCTGCGCAATGTCATACCTTGTTTTCTTTGTATCATGGGATACAACTGACTACCGCAAGCTGTTGCTAGGATATTCTATTAATTTTAATTGTTTTTTAGACTTTGTGAAGAGGTTTAGACCGTTGGAGGGTTCCCCTTCCAGGTTTTTAAGTCACGTTTTATGTTGGGTTCCACTTGGGAAGCAGAATAGTTCTAGACCAGTTAGTGTTCACTCCGTTTCTAGCTAGAACTTCTGCTTTTTCATTACCTTCAATCCATTGGTGGGCTGGCATCCAGAGTAGGAGGACTTTATTTTCTTTGCCTAATTTGATCGCTGTTAATGGTGCTTGACAATCGGATAAAATGGCTATTATTTCTTGTTTCCAATAGTTCCTATATAAGATAAGTACGCATATATTAATACGCATCTATCGATAGCATAGACTTCTGCCTGAATTATAAAATAATAATTATTATTATAAATTATATTATATGTTCAAGCATACGCCCGTTTGGAAACATGTTGGCCAATGTTTCTGTGGTGTGTAGCGCCTTAAGAATTGTAGCACATTAAGAAAAATAACTACTCTCGCTATTTTTGTTACAAAAATTTAAATTTATAACGAAACGAGCACTTAATTGCCTCGACATCAAAAACACTCTATTCTGACACAAAATCGATCTTCCTTTTTTTCTAATTTCCTCTCCACTTTCCAGCGCCAACTCATCCATCAAACCCCTTTGTTTCCACCGTTGCCAGCCATCGATCCGGAATGTTTCCGGCCTGGCGACCTTGTCTGGCCCGCCGTCGACCTTCGTGCGCATAGTAGGCCGGCCGCAGGCTTCCCTGGCTGCGCTGAGTCATGGCGTCGCCTGCGATATCGATTCAACGCAAGGAAAGCAATGTTGCCAAAGTGATTTAGTGCCGTAGGCTAAAATATTTTGTTTATTAAAGGGCTGGGTCCTAATCCTTTATTTATCTTATTGTTACTGCAACAAATGAGCATTTTTCTATAATTATTTTTCGTCCATTGAGTCAATAAATTCACATTTAACTTCCTATCTTCTGTCTGTATCTCCTCTACACTCCAGAAAAATCTTGAACTTTGACTAAATTACGACTCCTGCCTAAAAATTATTTTTTATTTTCTTGTGATGTAGTAAAAATCACTTTTTCTAGTTTTGTTTAGTTAATATTATTTTGTTTTGTTCAGAAATGTGTGATAGCTTATTTTTTTACTAAATTTGTAGGTATTTAAGTAATCAATGGGAACACAGGTTGATAGTCAAGTCAAATTTATTTATAGAGAATGTCCCCGGATTGTCTTTAAAAGAGGAAAAAAACTTATTGCCTTTTTGAGAAAAAAGCATTCTTCGAAAAAGCAAAACGGATTCAAAAATTAATAAAGAAGGAAGAGTCAGTATTTTGAAATTTTTAAAGAAATTCTGGCAGTGAGTTCTACTGTTCAGTCCCAATAAATATCAAACTGCTCTCTTTTGAAGTTTGAAAATACGATCAAACTTTGTCGCGCAGCAAGTACCCCAGAATGGAAGGGCATAACGAAAATGCGACTCAAAAAGGTCATAATAGACTATTCTAGAGGTTGATAAGTTAAGTTCCTTAGAAACTGATCTTAGCGCAAAACAGGCAGCGCTTAGTTTCTTTGATAAAGCTTCGATGTGCAAGTCCCATTTAACGAGTTTTCTACAACAAGTCCTAAGAATTTCACAGAGTCCACACCGTCAGTAGTGGTGTTATTAAGTACAAAATGTTGTATAGTACTTTTATATGACAACACTTTAGTTTTTGATAGGTTGAGGCATAGGAGATTAGAATTGCACCAAGATTTAATGGTGGTCACTGGGTATAGTATTACACAGTGCCGTAACATCTGGGCCGCTCCAAGTGAAACTACTATCGTCCGCAAAGAGGCATTTTACCTCTATTGTCTAGATTTGCAATGTCGTTGATAAACACCAGAAACCAAATAGAGCCTAGTACTGAACATTGAGGGACACCCATAGACTTAAAATAAAATATAGACTACACTATTTACATCTCAACGCGGACAAACAACCTTTTTTGTACACATGTTTACTTCTGGGTACAGTCGACCGAGCCTTCCTCATCCAGCCTATGTTGTCACGTCTTTAATATTATCAATATTTTTTTTCTTGTTATACACATATATTGAGAAATCACAGAAAATTGTAGCTGTAGAGTGATGGTTATTCAGACTGACAATATTATTTGTATAATGTTTTGTATTATCTTTTGTTTGTTTGTTTGTGTACCTTGTTTTTTTTTACTTTGTTTGTTAGTTTACCTTTGTCTACAAATTGAAAAATTTTTTGACAATAAAGGCATTTATTTATTTATTTATTTACTTATTTATTTATTAATGTCGGCAGGAGTGCAATTGGGCGATAGTTCGAAGCTTTATCTTTATCTCCTCCTTTATGCAGAGTAATAATTATTGCTGTCTTAAGGCAGTTTGAAAAATCTCCTTTTTGGAATGACTCGTTAATTAAAGTAGTAAGATGGATTAATGTGCATTCCGGAAGTTCAGAGAACATTTTGAGAGTAAGCCCATCAGTCCCAGATGTGGATTTATTTTTAATACTTTTAATTGTACTGCGGAGCTCATCTAATACCACGGGCGTGAAGAAGAAACTGTGTAAATTCTCATTTGCTTTAGGGAGATATGAAAGTGAATCATGGGAAGGAATTATGGTGTTCACTAAATTTTCCTAAACCTAAAACCGCCTTCCTCCGGTTAAATCTGAGGCATGAACTTTTTAGACTTTTTCTCAAGTCACAAATTTACTCTTTCCTAACTTCTTAATAAAAAATATACGATCCGGCAACACGGTTCGCTCGAGCGACCACCTCGCCGCCGATCCGAGCAAGTAAATTGCACGGCATCGCGACGCCCGCGTCGCCGCGACAAGTGACTATCGCGGACGCCGATCAGCTGGCCGCTCGAAGGACCGCCCTCCCTGCGACCGACATTACGCGATTGCAAATTTACCGAAACGACGCCGCGCTTCGATTAGCGTGTTGTAGTCTGGCGCGACTTTTTCTATCGTCCGGTATTTTTTACGGGTCGTCTCTACACCGTTTCTTTATTTACGGCTGTGTTTGTCCGATGATAATTGCGTGAGGCCGACAGACTAAAGGATTAGTCATCGGTATTCGTTGTACCAAAGATGCTGGTGGAAACCAGACGAGATGGATAAATTTGGAAAAGCTTGAGTGAATTTCTGGTGGAAATGAGTGCTTCTAAGGCTCAGGGTGGGCTTCCAAAGGGAGAGATTGCCAGGAGTAGAATGCTCGAAGGTAAGGAGTAGACAAATCCAGATATCGTACGCCCATTTTGCGATGTACTCGTTTTGCCATATTTATTGACACATTCCAGTGTGTGAACAATATTAATAATTATATTGTTTACATATTTTGTTAGTTCCTAGTGAGTAAGTATAGAGAAAAGTTATACTCACGAGACAATCCAATCTGCTTCATTTATACTGCATAATATTATACCCATAGACTTATTATACTTACACTTACCTAAACCTAAAAAACAGATGAGCAAATATGCTATTATAATTATAGAACAATACGTGATCTACATAATACTTTAATCACATCTATAACATTATTTACGTTATATAATTTACGGCAAGCATGATAAGCATAGATAGAAAAACTGTCAAAACTGTGATAGGTCTGCAGATTAATGTTAGTAAACAGGATTTATATATATACCACCACTGTATTGAATTCAAATTGAAACCAGCTTGTCAGTGGTTCTTTACTAATAAAACAAATTTGCCTAAAGACAAAAAATACTTAAAGTATCCGGATTACTGAAGGAATATTTTTTATGTATTTATAATTTATTGTTTCAAACTTTTATTGTTTCCAACCTAAACTCAAAATTTAAACACATTTTTATATAAACCAAAAAGCAAAATATATAAATATATATATACATCATATTAAAACTTCTTTTTGTTCTTATAAATTGTGCTTATTGTACCTATACATGTACCTATACAGGGTTGTTCACCACATACGACACGGAGTATTGTAGCTAAACGATTAGATTTTTACAAATTGTAAGTTTTGAGTTCGTTGAAGGTCTATTAGAGCTACAATTTAAAAATATTTTTACAAGATACAGAGTGTCCCAAATAAGTAAAAAATATTATAGTTGTATTTTTTTAAATGGAACACCCTGTATATTATTCTATTTTTGGATTCTACGATTGAAATAAAGGTAAATTTGATTAAGGTTTATCACACTTAAACCTTATGGTTTTTTGAAATATTTTCAATTTTATAAAATTGCAGTAAAAAATTTAAGGCTTTATTTCTCCAAGGGTATCAAAAGTTTTAATACTAAATATTTACTGAAGATTATTTATTGATCAGATATTGTGTTGCAATAATAAAAATTTTACTACCTTTATATACAGAGTGTCCAAAAATTTATATTAAGTAATTACTAGCTTTAAACGGCAATAATTTGTTTAATTTAAACGGAACACCCTATATATTTTACGTGAATCAGATGCACAATGTAATTGTCTATCAAATTGTATTGTTCCATTTTTTACCCATCTCTTCAAGTTTTCATAGAAAATGCATTTTCTTATAATTTAGACTAATTATTTCTCATAATTTAGATCATTTATCACTATACCCATGGAACATTGATATTTTAGCTTATTTTTAAAAATGTAATAAATTTTCAAAGGGTACAGATACTAATATTGTTGATATAGTTCGCTTATTTAATTAAAAAATAAAAAGAACTGTTTAAATATTTTTTGTTAAAGAGGACCAATTAATATGATCCCAGCATTCAAACTACATTAATTGACTGTTTACGTTGTAGTAATAATTGCTCCAAATACTAAAAAACTGAATTTTGTGTGTGTATTAGACAGTGTGGTAAAAAGTAACATCTTATAAATTTTATTTCATTTATGACGAATGCTTATTTATAAAAACAGAGACATTCATTTTTATATCTTATTATTATATTGATTTCTGAGCCAAATCCACATTTATTTAGAATATTTTATCAATTAAAACAATTTAAAAGTATGTAATTAACTAATTTTTGGTATTTTTGGCAGGAAATAATGGTGGTATATTTAATTGGTACACACTTTTACAAAGATTTAAATAGTTTTTTTGTATGCCAATGGGCTTGCAATATTTACCACCTGTACAATTTGTACATATTATGGTGCTATAAAAAAATCTGAAATGTCAATATTCTATGGGTATAGTGATAAATGAGGTCTAAATTATAAAAAAATGCATCTTCTATGAAAACTTGAAGAGATGGGTAAAAAACGGTATAATACAATTTGATAGACAACAATAGACAACAATGGCAACTAAAAAGAGAATATCTAAATGTATGAGGGAGGCTACACCATAATTGGAAATGGTTGAATAAGTTGAGAATGATGATGATCAGAAAGGAGTAAAAATAGAGAGGAGGACCCACTCCCTCGACAATTGTGGGTGGTAGAAGAAAACGGGGACTATATTTGGATTTACGACGTCATTTTACATATATAAGAACTGCAGGAATGATTCCAGGGCTCGAGAAAAAAAATGCAGTATAGTGTTATCTTTGACTTCTACCTTCGTTTTTAAAAATTCTTTATTATTAAATATACATTGTTAAATTTTCTGTTAATTTTTATTTCATTACATCATTCGTCATTGATCATTAAAATTATTACATTAATTTTCATTTTACTCGTTTACATTTAGTATAATCATTAGGTACGTACATCATTAAATATTTTTTATTATTATTAGATAATTCGTCGACTTCTATCTGCCTCTAATTTTAAGTAAATTATATTTTTATTTCCAATAAAATGTAGATTTCATAATGCAGTATGTATAGAAAATATATCGTTAACTAATTGATATTATCCATGTAATTTGCAATATTTTACACCTTTAGCCTTTGACATCATTTAAATTAAAATTTTCGCAATAATTATTAAATTTATTCCTTTTTAAATTGGCGTTTGTCAAAAATAAATGTTTTCTCATTTATTGTCAAATCAATTTTCTGTAAGATCTAAAATTGGAAACCGTCATATTCACTTCTGGTTTATTGCTAAACATGTTTACATTTGCCTTAGCTTTTAGGTAGGTGTATAAGTGGTTGTGTATAGATAATGTCAAGCTGTAATAATTACTGTTATTAACAGGATTATAAACCATAAACATTATTACCTGTCCTGTCCCTAAGTGAATATATAAATTTAGTAGGTACTTATCTTTTTCACCTGCTATGGAACAAGTGTATGTATATGTATAATTAGTTTTCTATTTACGTGTTTTCAATATTTTTATCCCACAACTAGCTGACCAAGCAAACGTTGTTTTGCCATATAAATACCGTATGATCGAATAAAAACGGCGTCAGCGTTGGCTATGAAGTGAACATCGATGACATTTCCCATATAAATTTACATGTAAAATAACAGCGATCTTCGGTATTATACGGTATTTTTTATGGGACAACAGTCATTTTTATTCACGGGGTTGAAAATTATTATTAAAAAATAGGGGTTGATGGTAGAAGCACAGATTATACAGATTGTAAACTTTGTTTTTTCTTTATTGTTTTTCTTGGTTCCAATTTTCGGAATCGGGCACTAGTTAGGTTACTAGTTTGCGCACATAGCACGCCCACTTATGGCCTGTAAAATTGTGCACAGCGCCTGACCGGCACAGTTATTAGAGAGATATCGGAAAACCGAATAGCGTCATGCAGTATTTACACGTACCTTATCATGGTTACGATATGCGCGAGTCATTTTTTAACGCAACACCCACTAATAACGTTACCGCCTGACATAATTTGCGTATCAATTACACCAAGCGCTATTTCTAAATAACGTTTAAAAATTGCTTAAATGGGCATGTGCGGGTATTTGACAACCGGGGCCGGCCGGCGAGATCTTTTATTTTAGGTTATGTTTGAATTGTTTTGAATTATTACTTTAGTTTTATTAGATAATTTGATATTTAAGTAGCTGGGATTAGTTTTAATTAAATAAATATGGCCCAAAATATGGATTCCACTTCTTCCAATATTAAAGAACCTATAAAGAGGCTTAGGGTAACAGCAGATGACGACTTAGCCCTTCTAAGAGAATTTGTTGCTTGTTGTTCTAAACCCACTTGCAGACGTTGAACAATAAAGCACTGGAAATAAGCACTTTAGCCCTTTAGTTTTAAAATACCTAGTAAACAAAACAATTTCAAAGTTTTAAATTCAAAGTTAGGTTATGTTTAAATAGCGGACGCGACGCGAACAGAATTCTTTCCGGTTCGATAGCTATAAATGAAGAGAGTTAATACCATCTCACGTAAAGGAAATAACACCTGGCCTTATTAACGTCCATGCACGCTATTCGGTTTAGCGATATCTCTCTATTACGCTGTTTATTGTTATTGTACGCGAGTTTATTTTTGCGCACAGGAAATTTTACTCGTTTGCGCATCGTCATAAAAAACAATTTTCGTACCACGAATTAGGGACAAGATTTTTATCTGTATACTTATATGATACCTAATCTGTGGTAGAAGGGTGAAAATTTAGGGTTGTATGTATTTTTTAATGCCACATGATAAAAAAATCAAAATAAAATATTTTGTCCAAAAAATAAAAAAAATAGGGGTAGACCACTCTTATCACTTATAGGGGTATAAAAAATAGATCAGACCTACTGAATATACATATAAATTCAGCAAAATCCCCCAAGCCGTTTCGGAGGAGTACGGTAACTAAAACTGTGACACGAGAATTTTATACAGGGTGGTCCGACTGTATTCCGGAAACTTCGGCAGCATATTCTGCAGATAAAAATAAGTAGAAAAGTTCGTATAAATGTATGTCCTAAAATACGGATTATACAGATTGTAAACTTTGTTTTTCTTTATTGTTTTCTTGGTTCCAATTTTCGGAATCGGGCACTAGTTAGGTTACTAGTTTGCGCTAATATTTGCTGTGTAACACCAAAGATTCCAACCCTCAACTGTAATGGTTTGAAAAGTAATAACTTTTCGTTCGTACCTGTATAAACCTATTGAGTAAAAAATATACATTTACAACGTTTTCTACGTAAAAAAATGTCTCTTGGTAAAAATCGCTACGAGTAATGGTTCTCGAGATATTTGGAATTGAAATTATCAATAACTGTCATCATTGACATAAACGTGTTAACTAAATTGTTATTGAACTGAAATCATAAATTTGAAATGTTTTTATGCCAAGAGTTCAATCATTT